CCCTGATTGAGAAGCACTGTTTTAGATCACATTTCCCTAGCTTGCTTTTGAGAATCTCATATGGGACTGTGTCTAAAACCTACTAAAATCAGTATCAGATCTACCGCTTCCCCCCATCCACTAGGCCAGCAACCCTAGCAAAGAAGAAAATTAGGTTGGTCTGGCATGATTTGTTCTTGACGAATCCATGCTGGCTGTTCCTTATAATCCTATTATCCTCCAAGTACTTACAAATTGATTGTTTGGCCATGACCAAGTGGTCCAAGAGTCCCTGCCCAAATGAAAATGAAAAGTTGGATTTTCATAAGCATTCAACACTAGCCTAACAATGCTCCTATTGAAGTCAAGAGGGGAGGTAGGTCAATGCTGAGCATTTATAAAAATCCCACCCTAAGTAATTTGCACAGTTACACACCTAACACTACTAATTCTAATGCCACTAAACAATAAAAATTAGGGGATTTATGGAATTTAAAAATGTGAACTTGTTCTGGGCAAGGGCAGCTAGCTGTGGAAAAGAAGAAATTTTGGGTAGTAGAGGCCACATAGTTCTTTATTAACCTCAGCTCTAAACTACTGAGGCCACAAAAGCATGCGTGTATGCAGGGCCGGCTTTAGGAAGTGCGGGGCCCGATTCGAACAGTTTCGACGGGGCCCCGGCAGAGAACACATAAAAAAAACACGCGGGGCTTGTACTCACCCAGCCGTGCTCCTAGTCTTTGACGGCGGGTCCTTCACTCACTCCGGGTCTTTGGCGGCACTGAAGGACCCGCTGCCAAAGACCCGGAGCGCCTCCAGGTGAGTAAAAATTAAAAAGGTGCCTCTAGCCAGGGAAGGGATTCTCTGCCACTTGCCCCCCAATCTGGGCAGCCCTGCCACTGGACGCGGGGCCCTCTTAGGCGCAGGGCCCGATTCGGGAGAATTGGTGGAATTGGCCTAAAGCCGGCCCTGCGTGTATGCCCCTAACAGGTAGTGCTTTCCAGGAGGTTCTTGAATTTCAGCAGCACAGTGGAAGCAATAGCATGCATCCCACCACTGTAAATATGCAGCCGCCACCTTGAAGAAAAATATAAACTTTCATTTAAAATTAAGATCTTGTTCATATTTGGGAGTAACTTCAACTCAGCTACCACTGGTGAATAACTGATTTTACCACTTGAACTTAGCCTTGGTAAGCTAACCCAGCGCAAATAGCAGCTTTCCTTGTCTGCACTTGAATGGTAATGATACCCAGCTCTCATACAGCACTTTTTTCATAGGACCTAACCACATCAGCCACACCATCAGGGGCTCGTTCACCTGCATATCTACCAATGTGATATATGCCATCGTGTACCAGCAATGCCCCTCTGCCATGTACATTGGCCAAACCAGACAGTCTCTTCGTAAAAGAATAAATGGATACAAATCTGACATCAGGAATTATAACATTCAAAAACCAGTAGGAGAGCACGTCAGTCTCCCTGGTCATTCAATAACAGACTTAAAAGTGGAAATTCTTCAACAAAAAAACTTCAAAAACAGACTCCAACGTGAAACTGCAGAACTGGAATTAATTTGCAAATTGGGACACCATCAAATTAGGCCTGAATAAAGACTGGGAGTGGATGGGTCATTATAAAACCTAATTGCCCCATACTAATTTCTCCCTACTGTTACTCACAGGGCTGGCTTTATGACCCGCAGGGCCAGATTCCAATACCCGGCAGCAGTCCGGGGCTTCAGCAGCACTTTGCGGCTGGGGGTCCGCTCCGGGTCTTCCGCGGCACCGAAGGACCTCTGCCGCCGAAATGCCACCAAAGACCCCCGGAGCAGACCCCTCCCCCCCGCCGAAATTCCGGCCCAATTCCGGGGAATCGGGTGAATCGGCTTAAAGCCGGCCCTGGTTACTCACACCTTCTTGTCAACTGTTTGAAATGGGCCACCCTCATTACCACTACAAAAGTGATTTTTCCTCCTTTGGTATTCTACTGTTAATTGAATTGTCTTTTTAGATTGACCCCCAACTTGGTAAGGCAACTCCCATCTTTTCATGTACTATGTATATATATCTGCTATTGTATTTTCCACTCCATTTATCTGATGAAGTGGGTTCTAGCCCACAAAAGCTTATGCCCAAATACATTTGTTAGTCTCTAAGGTGCCACAAGGACTCCTGTTGTTTTCACTTTTCATCAGTAGATCTCAAAGCATCTTGTATTTATCCTCACAATACCCCTGTGATACAGGGAGATATTATTATCCCCATTTCTGGGCACTGATGGCCGACTCCCAAATATAGATAAACTCTTAAGTCCAGATCCTAAAAGGTATTGAAATCAATGGGAGTTAGGCACATAACTAGTTTCTAGCCCTTATGGTGACAAAGGAAATCTTCACCATATGAAATGAGCGTAAACCTACAGCATAAACCAAGCACACAAGAAAGGAGAGGCATGATCATATTATAAAGATCAATTGTGAGCAGCGTCTTGTTTTAGAGGGTGTACTTTGATTTTTTGTCAGTGGATCTTGGCTAAGCAACCTTGTTCTATCCTCTCCATCCCCTCAGTGGCTTCATAATATGTAGATCAGTATTCCTCAGGATGCCTACATTTGCTTTCCACAAGGTGATGCACCTGCAAGATTACAAGCACTGCACTCTGGTTGCCTGGGGTTACAGAAGACATTAGGAGAGTGCACCTGTAACACATTTCCCCACCCAAAATGGCCTCTTGCTTGGGCTTTGTGATCTGTGTCTGCCTTGGAGTGCCATGGACTTCAATACAAGAGTTAGTTTTCTGTTTGTTTTGATCTTCCTGTGTTTTACTAATCTGAATGGCAGGTCTGTCTGTCAGTTGGGGATTGGGGGGAAATACTTAAGGGCAAAGTTAACTGTCCAAATGAGGAAGCACAGAAATCCTAAAATCTCCTACCCATACTCAGCAGACAGCTTGAGCTTTATAAGGTGGCACATTGCCTTGGGCTGTCTCCCCTCCATGGGGCCTCCTCTCGCTTTTTGACTTGGCTCTGACATTGAGGAGGTTGTGCAGGTGCTGAAATACTTATGCATAGCCCATGAGCAGCAAAACAAGAAGCGCCAGAAAAGCTGAATAACGGATCTTGTCCTCCCAATTACCAGGGCCCAGGAAAACAATGCAATTAAAATGATAGATTGGCTGCACCAGCGAGCAGGGCGCACCGGGCGTCTTATTTTCCTTCTTCATTATAGATTGCAGCGTTTTTGACCCCCTTTCACCAACCCCCGCCTAAGGCGAGGAGCGTGGGCGCCTGGCTCCAGGGGTGTGTATGGAGGCAGCGGCTCACAGGTGCGAGCCCCGGAGAGAGGGAGGTGGGCTGCTCCCTGCTAAGGGGCTGAGTCGACAGAATGGAGAGATGGGGCGGCAACGCGACCCTCCCTGTCCTCCCCGGCCATAACGCGGCTCCCCAACATCTCCTCTGCCCCTAGAAGGGGGCAGGCTCGGGGAACTCCGCACTCCCCCCCTTCTCGGCCCCAGCTGGGCGCCGCTGCCCCGGTGAGAGAGCGACGAGCGCTCGCGTCTCAGGAACAAAGCCCCCAGCCCCACCCAGCCCCTTTGCATCGCGCCTCCTGCCAGAGGAGCAGGGAGGGACCTGCAGCTCCACCGGGAGCCTGGGGAGAGATACGCCCCCCAACCCCCGCTCTGCCCAGCCCGCTTGTACCGCTGCTTCAGCCCTCGCAGGGGCCCGGCGAGGTCATTGTCCCCTCACAGCCCAGCCTGCTTGTACCGCCTGGCGCCCCCCTCCTGACCTCTAGAAGGGAAAAGCGATGCACCTCCACTGCTCCGTGCCACGGATACCCTGGCGGGAGCAATGCGCCCAACCCCAGCCCCTTCGCACCACCGCCGCCCCAGGACCTTGCAAGGGGAACTGCGCCTCCCACGCCCCTTTGTAGCGCTGCTGCAGGGGGAGCCTTGCAAACCCCCCTGCAGCTGCACCAGTAGCCGGCGCAGGGGGAGCTAGTGGTGCGCCTCCCCCGCCCCCCGGGGCCCCTTTGTGCTGCTGCTCGGATCTGCCCTAAGACACGCGGCGGATGCGTCACGGCGGAGGCGCTGCTGCTGCTAGCAACGCGCACAAGCCCATTAACCCCAAGGCAACCCATCCCCGATCGATCCTTTCCCTGCACCCAGCCTCCCGCCCGAAACCGCTCGGAGAGGCGTCCGAGCAGCTCCGCCATTTCCGAGAGCTGAAGCAGAAGGGCTTGGAGCATCCCCTACCTTGCACCCACCCACCGGCCCCACACAAAGGGAAAAGGCAGAGGAGTAGCTGGGGTAAGTCCAAGGCTGTTCTTTCCCTTAGGTAGCGATTCTTTCTGCTGCTGCTCTTTGGGAGAGGGGAGGAGAGCTTCATGCCCAGCATCTCGTGGTGGGGAAGGACGCTGCGCTCCGCGCTCTCACCCACCTCTCCTGGAGATGGGCACGTTCAGAGAAAGGCGAGAAGGGATGGATGCGGAGAGGGGGGCGTGTCGCTGGACAGAGAGAGATGCAGAGATGGGGACTGTGGAAATGGATTGGGGGGGGGGGAAGCTGTGTCGATCTAGATGGAGGGGACTGCGGTGATGGATGGATAAATTACATAGAAAGATGTTGCATTTCCACTTGATATTATTCAAGGCTTCCAGAAAGCGCTCTGGAGAGAATGCCATTCACCCTTGGACTGGGAAGAATTATACTGTTTCAATTAGTCTTCTGTTTAAAACAAAAAACAAAAAGAAACACCCCCTCCCAAACTGTGACACAATTATAGCTATGCCTTTGTAATGACAATTCAGAAAGTAATAGCGATGTAAAAAAAAAAGTGGAATTAGGTCACTTGAGCTCAACAGAAGAAATTTTGCCTGAAAAAAAACAAACAAAACAAAAACGGGTTTTAGGATTTGTGTGTTTGGGGCATATTTTTGGTGCAATATGAGTTTGAGACCTATCACTGTATTGTGGTTTTCATTTTTGTGTGTGTTTATAGGACTTTCTTTTTAAATCCAGGAAGGATGGTGAAACTAGGGAATAATTTCAGTGAGAAGAGCACAAAGCAGCCCCTCTTGGAGGATGGATTTGACACCATCCCCTTGATCACACCCCTGGATGTCAATCAGCTACAGTTCCCGCCTCCTGATAAGGTACAGTAGGCTACAGTTTCCACCACAGAGAATCACATCCAATCTCTCTCAAACAACAGGAGAATCGTTTGTATAATAGGCCATTTAGAAATCTCATTTATTAGAGGGCATTTTAAGGAGTGTCTATTTCTTCTTGAGAAATAAATAAATAAATAAATAAGCCAATGACAATCATAAATATTTCAGTAAAAGTGATTTTTTTTTCATTTAATGCCATTAGTTATCATTAAAACATGTATTATAGGGTTAGATGGTACTGAAAAAATCAGTGATAAGTACATTTAGATTTCTTTGTTGCTTTGGGGATACAATGTATTATTTGCAAGCTTGTTTGTGATATGTTGTCACTCTTTTTATTGTATGCCCTTGTCTTCAGAATCTGTAAGGCAGCTGTGAAAATTCATTGTGGGTGAAATGTACCCCCGCTGGCTGTAAGACATCCCACAGTGTGGAAGCATTGCTTTAGAACTCCACAGGGTGTGGGCTCAGGCAAAACAGCCATGCAGGGAACTTCTGCATCACTTGTGTGTCTCAGAAGGGGCTCCGTGCTGGCCCCAGATAAGCCAACCAGAAAGGGGAAGTTGTGGCTGGGCTACTAGATTAATAATTAACCGATTCTGTGGTCCAAAACTCCTGAATAGGGTGTGTGTGTGGATTAGTATCTGCTGTTCCAGCCCATAGGCTGGAGTGTGGATCAAAGAAAGGTTGTACTGCCACCCCATATCCTGTCCACTTGGGGGAGAGGCTTGTATTTCACCTCCCTGACCACAGCTTAGTGGTCCCTCATGCAAAGCCTGATTATTCAAACTTTGACGCAGAAGGGCAAATACAGAAACCTCAAGATATTTTTCATTCCCCACACAAATAATCTGATGATACTTATCGATTATGGGACATAATGGGACAGATACAAGAAAACAGTTTTTTTCAAATCTTCTTCCATTTGTATAACTTAAAAGCTTACTGGTCTCTGGCGTTGATACCTTCTGAAAAATAATATAAGCAGCCTCAAACTTGAACTGGCAAATGGTCACTATATATAATATATATATATTAACAAATTTCATGGCGAGTTTTTGCTTCGTAATCTTTGAGGGCTTAGTTCTCTTCTTAGATAAATGGTAGATATAGGCTGCATATCTTGAAAATTTCATGTGCTCTTACCCTAGAGAGAGAATATCTATAAAATTGTCTAAAAATTTTCATGTATGGTAGACAACAAGGGTCCATTTATACCCTCCATTACATGGGTGTAACTCCCATTGACATTTCTGTATAGTATGTGGTCACCACTTGGCAGGCACTTTAGATAGGATTAGCCCATAACAGCATCCTCAAAGCCCTAGAGTCCATTTCTGCCCTCAGTTACATGTGTGTAATTGCTGTACTGAGGGCAGAATTGGACCCTAAGGCTTTAAAACTGTTGTTGTGGCTGACTATGTCTGCCAGTTGGTGAGCAGACAACCAGTTAGCAGGGTCCTGCATCCAGAGGCCAAACTTGCTGAGTGTGCATGTTATATTACTCAGTTGCTAAGCAGAGCCTTGAACCAGGAACCCTTGTGGTCCACAGGCAGCAGCTTAACCAAAATGGAGCCACTGTGGTTAATCCAGTAAGAGCTGTGCTAAGTTTGTTGCTATTGGAAGTTGTTCTTTGATTAGTACATGGTCAAGTAGCACTGGGCAGAACTCCCACTGCAGACAACAGGAGTTGTGTGAGCAGAACCAAGGGCAAGTTATGGACTCAAATATTTGGTTAGCATTTCTTCTTTCCTCACTGCCCAACTGTGTGTGTGTGTGTTTCCCTTCCTTTGTGCAGTCATTTTACACATGAGTAGAAGAGTACTTTATAGGCCTCAATGGGTCCCTTTTGTGCCCAGTTGGCCCCAGCCAGGTAAAATGCTTCTTAGCTTGTAGGCCACTGATACCGACTTAAATGTTTTATTTTCAATAGAGCTCATATTAAATATGCCAGTAGTAGAAAGGATTGACAGAAATCAAATTCTGAAGTAGCAGTATAGTCTTGTGTAATAAATGTAAGTACATATTTCACGTATCCAAGCTTATTATGCAGTTACAAAGCTCTGGTGTGGCAGTGAAGCATAAAAACTTCATGAAGAGTAGTGACTAACGCTAAGAATTTGATGGTTTTGACAGTTTCTAAATTAAAGGCTGAATTGATTTAAGTATATTTTTGGTTATGTTAAACAAAAGAAAACATTATATAACCAGGCAGCTAAAACTATGTTCACTGTCAGTTGGATGTGATTTTTTTTTTAAATGCCTGAGATTATGCAATATGATGATGGGGGGGGGGGGTTAAAAAAAATCCAAAAACCCAAGACCAATTAACTCCCATGATGCCGTTGAACACCATTATAATCAAAATGAAGATAGGATGTATGGAAACTAGTTTCCAAAACTAAGCACATCTATGCAATATTCTAAAGATATTGTGTACGTTTGTGGCATTGGGCCCAAACCATCACATGTTCAAGACACTGTTTCAGCTGTGAAAGTAGGCAAATCCCAAAGCTTTCAGTTCAGTGTCTGGCATAAGTGTCACAGGTCTGCTTTCAGAGGTGTATAGTTTCCATTGACATCAATGGGTTTCATCTAATGACAGTATTGGGCCCTAAAACCAAAAAGGATACAGAGTTATATTCTTTGGAAGATGACAAAATATGGAACAGATCCTCAAGGCTTTGTACCAAGGGAGGATTGTGCCCAGTTTTGAATGTGATGCTATAGGGAGGATATTGGAAAGTTGTAGAAGATTGAAAATGGGGCAGAGAAGATGATGAACTATAACTTTGTGAAGGAATAAAGGAATCTAGATTTGTATTCACTAGAATTCATTAGATTAATAGGGACATGACTGAGGTATGGAATATTTTAAGGATACGATGATGACACAGAATTGTTTGGGGCTTTTAGGCCCTTATGGGATTTCAGGAGAAGTCTCTTTATGGAGAAGGCCTGTGTGCAGCTAACTACCATAGGTAATTTTTTGTTTTTGTTTTTTAAAGTTAGCCTGACACTTGAACAGTATCACAGCATACATGCAGAACACAGTATGTAGATAGGTAGGTGGATGGACCTATACTTCTTTCAGTCCCAGAATGCTAGTGTGCAAGAATACTGCTATTGTTGCTATGTTATCATCTGCTAGTGTTTGTTGTTTGTTTGTTTTTTAACTGACCTCTTAATTGACTATCCGATCCAGTCAATCTCTGGCTTCAAACCTCAATAGTTGAATTCCCCTGAAGCTGATAGAGATGACCATTGTGACAGACTGACAATATCCTGAACAAACCTTATGGAATTAAGATAAACTTTATTGAATTAAGCTAAATCGTATTGAATTTGGGTTAATACCTTTGGGATACATTGTACTGAAAAGGCAATTGTGTATGTGTTGTTGTGTATCTTCTCTAGTAAGGAGGGAGAGGCTAATGTACTGCCTCTGTTATTAGCCCTTTGAAACCCGCTTCCCCAGCCTCCTCCCCAGAAAGGTGCACGTATATTACCTCAAATTGTATTTTCCAGGGACCAACAGACAAAGGAAGAGTTTTGGGATAAACAGACTGGTTTTAAACTGGCTCTTGGCCTTCTTCCTGATCCAGTAAACGGACAGGGCCCTGGTCCAGAGAGGGCCCCAATCCTTTGGGAAGGATTGGAAGGACTGGGGCTAATGAAGCCCCATAAGACTGGGTGCTTGTTCTGAGCTGAAGCTGTGATGAGCTTGTAACCAGAAGGAATCCCCTTGGGTGAGGGGTGGAAGGACTGCTCCTGACAGACTCTATGTTAGGGTGATCTCTAGTAAGCTTATTAATATGTGTATAGGTGCTTTTATTGTTTTTAGTATATCTTCTCTGTAGTGCTTTTTTACCTTAAGAATAACATAGGCTTGCATAGGAAGTGTTGTGTGGTACCTTATAATGGTAGCAATTACACCTGGTAACAGTCTCTGAAGAGAAAGCAAGTAGGTATCCTTGGGCAACCTGTCTGTGCTGGGAGTAACACAGTTAAGGCAGGGAACTGTGCAGCCTGGAAATACTCTGGTCAGAAGGGAGAGAGATGTGGATTGTCACCCAGAAGGACAACAGCTGGGAAGCTGAAAGCCGGAGAGTAGGTGCCCTTGCTGGACCAGTGAGGGGAAATACAGGTGCAATTGCCCTGAACTGTGACAATTATATCTGCTCTTAAAATATACTAAAGGAAAGGGGAAAAAATCAGCATCACATCATATTTGATCTTAACCAATAGTGGATTGAACTAACCAATTGCCTTTCTGATGTGCTTACATGCACATACACCCCTATGCATAAATAAAATATAGCATTTAAACAAAACCAACCATTTGTGGAATAGTCTTTCTATTATATGCTCCCTTCAACTTCCTCAAAAACACACGGAAGGGATATTCGTCAGTATTTGCTAATTGAAAAAGGGTAAAATTGATAGGAAGGATATTTTAATTTTCATGTCCTCCATGAGGGAATTATATGTAATAGGAAGAATTATTTAGTTAGCATCAGTGGTGTGTTTGATGCCAGTGAAAGTAGATAAAATGAATAAAAAAAATTACTTGGTGGTTGTGACCCAAAGCACCCCTGCTTTTACACCCTACACACTATTGTAATAACACTGCTCTACAGCCAAAATGCTTCTGAAATAAATGTAGTCAAACTTTACTAATTCTGGGTCACTGAGAATGAAAATGATGCTTAAAATTGTTGATTAGCTCTAGTTTTCAAGATATGCTCTTGGGTCAGTATATACAACCCTTGACTTGGGAATGGCGGAGGATAAGTGCGTTATAAAGGGAAGGGATCTCAATTTAAACCGGAAATGACTAAAATACATCTTTGACTGGATCTATGAATGGGTTTGGACAGTACTTGCTTTTTAGGCAAAACAATGAATGATGCAATCTGAAGCTGGTATTGCGTCATACATGATATGAATTGCATCATGTTATTCCTAGAAGTCATGGATGATGCAATCATAACGAAGCTTACATCACTCTGCTGAACAAATTGCCCTATATCAGTGTGACGAACTGGGACTGTTCTTACTGTGGTCTGTGAATGCTGACAGGGGAGTGTGGCTAGGA